CAAGGATTTTGGAGTGGAATTGGGGGTGGGGGGAAGGTATACCTGTGCCTTCAGAAAATTGTTTTGCCAGCTGTGTGAAGAATAAATTGAAGAGAGGTGAGAATGAAATCAGCGAGACCAGTTGCCCATTTAGGAGGCTAATATAATAGCCCAGCTAAGAGATGCTAAGGTAGTGTCTGTTTGAGTAAAGAGAAGAAGGAGGATATGAGAGATGATATAGAGGCAATACTGATAAGATTGGTGACTGTAGGTTCTAGGACTTCAGGGTAGTTTTCCTTTATGATTTCCTGAAGGATATTGTCCAGGTTCTTTTTTTATCATGATTTTCAGGTAGGCCTATAATTTTTAAATTGTCTCTCCTGGATTGATTTTCCAGGTCAATTGCCCAGAATTATAGTGCTCATAAATGTGCAAGGTCACATTTGAATTCAGGTCTTCCATACTCCAGACCAAGCACTTTATCCACTGCAACATTCTACACTGAAGAAAACAAATCCCTTAAAAATACAATTGGCCAACTGGAAAAAAAGTACACTGAAGAAAACAAATCCCTTAAAAATACAATTGACCAATTGGAGAAGAAAGTACAAATCTAACAGAAGAAAACAATATGTTAAAAATTATAACTGAACAAATGGAAACTAACAACTCTATGAGAGAGCAAGAATCAGGCAAAAAGAAACAAAAAAAAAAAAAAAAGAAAACTGCCCTGAAGTCCTAGAACCAGAAGGCAAAATAACTATAGAAAGAATCCACCGCGCCCCGCCTGAAAGAGATCCCAAATTGAAAACGCCAAGGAATATAATAGCTAAATTCCAAAATTACCAGATTAAAGAGAAATTACTGCAAGCAGCCAGAAAGAAACACTTTAAATATCATGGAACCACAGTCAGGATTACTCAGGACCTTGAAGCCTCTACATTAAAAGACCGTAGGGCGTGGAACATGATATTCCATAAGGCAAAGAAGCTTGGAATGCAGCCAGGGATTAACTACCCAGCGAAAATGAGCATGATTTTTCAGGGAAGGAGATGGATATTCAATGAAATAGGGGACTTCCAAACCTTCCTGATAAAAAGACCAGAGCTCAACAAAAAATTTGATCTTCAAGTACAAGATTCAAGAGAAACATAAAAAGGTAAATGGGACAGAAAGATACAATACATTGTTAATAAGGGCAAAATGTTTGTATCCCTACAAGGGAAGATGACACTTGCAACTCTTGAGAACGGTATTATTATTATAACATGTTAAAGGAGTATACATAAAGGGGGTGGATATAAGTTGACTTTGATGTAATGATAAAAAAAAATTTGATCAAGTAGATTAAATGGATCCAAGTAAGTGGATTAGTCTGAGTTAAGAAAATGTACTTAGAAAGGAGGAAGCAGGCAAGGGTAAATTACATTACAGGAAAAGACACAAAAACCTATTAGAGCAGAGGTAAAGAAGGGAGGGGGATGAGCATTGTTTGAACCTTACTCTCATCAGATTTGGCTCAAGAAGGGAATTAACATAATCGTTAGGTATCTAACTTGCACTATAGGCAGTATGAGGGAAAAGGGGAAAGAAAAGGGAGGGGGGATAGAAGGCAGGGAAGAAGCAGTAAGGGTA